AAATTGTTAGCAACAAGTCATGTATATTAGAGTGTAATCAAATTTTTAGGTTATACACAGGGGTTTCATTAAGAGCCGGCTACAAGCCCAAATTGGCCGACTACTTTCTGCCCCCATGACTGCCAACGCCAGTCTCATTGCAGCACTTCGCACTGCCGAGAGCCTTTTTATTTTATTTTCGGCCTGTTGTTACAGAATGATGGCCTGCTATAAAATGCATTTCAGAGACCCCTGTATACATATATTATTTGAGAACTTGTATATCTGTGGGGCTTTTAAACTTTTGATAATTACATCTAGTTTACCTTTGATTTCAGTCCATCATTGATGATGAAGTAACTAAACGATTTGATGCAGAAGGTGAGTCTTTAGATTCATTTTATGGCAACAGATTCACATGTCATAAGGATAGCTCTCATTACTAATATGTTATGAGTATAACATCAAAGATTTAGTGATGTGTTTGGAAAAGAATAATAGTTGAAACCACCAGGAATAATCTAATGATTTCATTCTGGTTGGTGAATACATGTTACTATGAATACTGCAGGGTTGTTATGTGGTTGTTATGTGAGATAACAGCCAGAAATGACAACAACAACAAAAAATGTGTTGTGTTGTGCAAATGTTTGTATTTAGTCACACGATTCTATTTCTGTCATGCATTATAGGCTTCTGTATCCAATGAAAATGTTTGAAAGTGACCTTAAAAGTGAAGTACATTTTCCAAATAGGGAAGACATTCAAACATGTTCGTAACACATCTGAAATCAAATAAATAATGTACTGGTAATTATTGTACATATGTTAATATATAGAAGACTAGTTCCACAGATGAAGATCTTCTCTATCTATGTGATTTTCAATCTGATAGACTTTCTTCAGAAATAGTGAAAAGTTTGGGTTCTTTCATCTTACAATAGTAAATGTGATTTTGCAACTGAAAGGCTGATTAAACCTACCTAAATAAAGTGTGACAGATGTGATATTTGAATATATCCACATCATGTGTTCTGACAAGCCTTCGAACATTTATAATGCCACCTTGCACAAAACACTACTGTTGAAAATGTTTGGTAAAAAATTAATATTTTAATTTAATCTTTTGAAATCTTTTGTTTCAGAGTTACCATCTTGGAATCTTTTAACTCGCACCAATCAAAATTATCAGTTTTTGAGGTAAGAGAAAGTTGTTTATTTTTACATGCATTACAG